TTGGGAGCCGGCCAGCTGCAGCTGCACCACTGGTGGGAGCTCCAGCAAGCAAAAAGATGGAACAGAGGGGAAATCAGCTCCTCAGCACCCTGGGAACACCATCCCCTGACTGGGGACAGCCCTGAGCCACCACGGCACAGAGCTCTGCAGCCAAGGGTCCCCATCCCAGGGGCTGGATCCAGGTGCCCCTCCTCGCTTCCCAGGAGCAGGAGCCTGGCTGGATCCCTGCTCTGGAGCTCAGTGCAGCTGAGCAGTGTGACACTCACTCCCAGCAGTGACAGCCAGCAATGACACCGGGGCAGGAATGGTGACCTCTCCACAATGCCAGAGGAAGGCTCCCCCCCAGACACAGCCTCCACTTTTACAGCTCCTGGCAGATCCTCCCTGACATCCCCTGGGTTTTGGGGGGTCCTGTGGCTGTCCAAGGTCACATGTACAGATTGTGGCTGCTCAAGAATCCCCCAGCCTCAGCGACCAGGGATGTAGATCCAAGGCAGAGATAACCAACGCCTGCACTTTGTTCTAGGCCAATGCCAGGGCTCTGCTGGACACCCACAGCACGTCCCTCTCTGGGGTGGAAGATGAGCCTCCCCTGCTCCCAGCTTTGCCCTTCACTCCCAGACTCCTGTTGGCTCCTCCAGCAACCCAGCTCCATGGTTCTCCTCTGATTCTGGAAATCCTTATGAATGAAATCCTTACAGATGAAATCCAAGATGTAACAAAGCTGAGCAGCAGACATTCATTTGTTTCCATCTTCCCAGCAGTGCAGCTGACCTTGTGGATGTGCTGGGTTGACACTGGATGGATGCTGGGTGCCCAACAAAGAGACATTCCTCCATGAACTTCCCACCCTGAGTCCTTCCCACAGTCCTCCATAGACTTCTCCAGTGTGGGTGCTTTCCACAGGGTCAGTCCTTCAGGAAGAGGATACTCCAGCCTGGATCCCTTCCACGGGGTCACGAGTCCTGCCAGCAAACCTGCTCCAGTGCGGGCTCCTCTCTGCACGGCCACACAAATCCTGCCAGGATCCTGCTCCAGCACGGGCTCCTCCAGGACTGCAGGTGGATCTCAGCTTCCCTGTGGATCCCCACGGGCTGCAGGGACACAGCTGCCTCACCCTGGGCTGCACCACGAGCACCTCCTCCTCCTCCTCCTCCTTCACTGACCTTGGTGTCTGCAGGGCTGCTCCTCTCGCAGGTTCTCACTCCTCTCTCTGCTGCCTTTTCCATTGTGCAGGTATTTTTATCCGTGGGTAGAGCAGGATGTGGATAGAGCAGGATGTGGATAGAGGGGGGCCGGCCCCGTGGGACAGAGCGAGAACAACCTTAACAACTTGTCGGTTAACAAGCTGTGAAAGGAGACAGACAGGCAGGAGCTGGCAGCCTGTCCCCTGGAATGAAGGACACCTTCCCTCCCTGAGCACCTCGGCAGGAAGGGCTCCTGCTGCAGAGCCCTTCTCCTTCCCTTCCTCCTGCAGGCTGAGTTCCCTGCCACTGCACCAGGGCTGCAGGGACAGCAGCTGAGGCACCTGCACCAGGCAGAGCTGCTCCTTGCATCCCATCAATCCAGCAGCACTCACTTGTGCAGCAGCAGGAAAAGCCATCTCGTGGAGCAGCTCCTTTTGGGAAGGGCTCTGGAAAGCCGTGGAACACAGCTCTGAGCAGCAGCTGAAGGGCAGCAGCTTGAGCCAGAGTGATGCCAAAGCTTCTCTCACCCCACGAGCCTCCCTCACTCTGCCTTTGCCCCCTGGTTTGGGGTGCACAGCTGGGGGTGGCAGGTCCCCTTCAACACTGCCAGGGGCTGGCACCAGCTGCACCCCGAGGTTTGGGCCCACGTTCTGGCTTTGGCCCCACATTCTGCCCTGCCAGAAGGGGCCTGGCCTCTTGGTCCCCAGAGTGGCTCATCCTGGTGCTCATCCTGCTGAAGCCCTGTCAAGGGCAGAGGGCTGGGTGCTGTTGGGGTGTCCCCTTACCCCTCCTGTGACAGGGACCAGAGCAGGGACAGGCACATCCCCACCTCGCAGAGCCTGGCCAGTCAAGTGGTTAAAGACACACAACTCTCACCACCACATCCAGCAATTTCATACCCCTGACAAGAGTGTAAATCCATCCTGATGGACTGGAAAATTGGAAAGCCGGTGCTCATGCCGTGTTTCCTACAGACATCTCCGAGCTCCTGAAAGATGCACTCGGTGGCAGCCCCGGTTCCAGCCGTGTCGCTCACGTCATGCTAATTAAAATAGAGCCTGTGTTTTGTAACAGGATTTCCTTGGAGCCTATTTTACTGCTCAGTAACCACTTTCAAATATTTGAGAAATAAAATCGCATCAAGTAAATAACTTTCGGATTGCTCACAGAAGGTTACTCTGGTTTCATTTTTTTTGTTCCCAAAGCCCACTGGAAGCAGCTGTGCTCATCGCAGTGACAGAGGATGGAAAATACACAGATTTCTGAGGCTGCTTGTAGTCTACATCAAAAGCTGTGTGTTATTTAATCAGACAAAGCCTATTTCATTAAAAAAACAACTGTCTGTACAAAATGGGATAACAAAGCATCCCAGCACTCGGCACTGACCTGGAATACCCAGGGAACATCCCTGCCTGCTGGCAGGATGGGCCACGCTCACACCAGCCTGTTCTGATGCCCACGTTGCCTTTCCAGAAATGCCCTGGCACTCCTCTGCCTCATCCATCACTTATTACCCATTAACTTCCGATCCCAGCACCACCTGACTTCCAAGGGATGGATCACACACTTCCCTTTTTCCACGGTTTGCTATTCCAAGATCCCTGCTGCCGTTCTGGATGCCAAGGGAGCACATTCAGCTGACTCGGCGCAGCCTGGCTCCTCAGCCCTAAATCCTGCTCCCAGATTCCTCAGTGAAGGAGAAGTTAAAAATGTACAGAAGGAAATGTCTGTGACACTGTGACATCCACAAAGCTGCGCTTGAAATGGCATCTTTGTATATTCATAACGGCAAAAAATACCGGAGAGGCAGAGGGCTGAGAGAGACTAATTTCATTTTCTCCTGATCCAGGCTCTCCTCGTCCTTTCTGCCAAGGAGGAGAGAAGGAAGAGGAGCCATTTGCCATGGCCTTTGATAGCTCTCCATCAGACAATCCCCATTCCTGTTATCTGTGCTGGCAGCCTGGCTCTGTGCTGCTATCTCGTTGCTCGGGGTGCTGCCGCGAGAGCTCACCGCGCACTTGTTGCAGCCCTCGCCGAGTTCACGCTCGGTTTTCCTTCCTGCCGGACACACCTGATCCTCTGGAAACACCCCCCGTGGTGCTGTGCTAGCCACAGAGCCAGGGGCATCTCTGTCCTTGCTACTGGGCTGTGACAGCCACCCCAGGAGTGCCCCCAGGCCTCGAAGAAGAGAAGGAAGGGTGCAGACTTTGGGGTGCAGAGGAGCCCGAATTCAGCACCCCCAGCTGCATTTCTGCTCCAATCACTGCAGCCTCAGCAGGGTTTGCTGGTCTCATCACAGCCTGTATTGGACACCCCGAATATATTTAGAAACCATGGATCTCCCAGGGGCTCAGATGTGCCCCTGCCTGCATGGGCAGCACAGGCAACGCTGCCCTGTCTGCATTGAGCTGCCCACAAACCCCCCCTGTCTGCCCACTGCATCATTCCAGGGTACAAACAGATGCCCCTGTTGGTGCCCACATTCCCGGGATGCTGCTGCTCCAGCACAGGCTGCCCGGAGCCTCCTGGCACGGGTCCCTGTGCAGGGACGTGCCTCTGCTGCCTGCTCTGTGCCGGTGGGTGGGTGTGAGCGGATGCTGAGAGCAGAGGAGAGGCTTTCACACCTCCTCTCTGGTGATCTAAATGGCTTCACCGGTGCAGAGCACCCAAAGCCACCAGCCAAGCACCCGATGGGTGCAAGTCATGTGAAAATGGTTTTTTCTTGGACGCATGAACAGAAAGAGCAGCAGATGGAGCAGAGCAATCGCTCTCTGCGGGGTCTGATCCTGCTCCTCCCCAGCTGGAGAACAGCAGGATTCGCTGCTCTGGGCCCTTGGCTGTGTCCCCCTCCACACAGATGGACAAGACTCCCCCCAGGCACGGGCAGAGCTGCCACGTCGCCACGGGCTCCAGGCTGCGTAGGCAGGAGTTGGGATTTTACTGCAATAATTCACCAAACCTTGTAAAGGGTCAACAATTTATCAGCTCCCTCTCTCTGCCAAGGAAAGAGGAGTTCAGCACACTGTGTTCTTCCACCATGAGATTTATGGCAGATTGTGCCAAATCCTGTTCCCGGGAGCTGGACTGCCTGCTGATGCTCCCAGTGGGACTGGGGCAGCCCTCCTGCCTCAGCACATGAGGCAGTGAGGGAGCTGAGAGCCCTCACTGGGCCTGTGCTTGCTGGCTTTGCTTCCCAGCTCCCCCAGGAGCCCGGGATGGTTGCTGCTGTCACACAGAGCACTGGCAGCCCGGAGCAGAGCGTTTGTGTAACACACAAGAGGAACGTGCCTCTCTGCGTGTCCCCTGGCTGGAACAGGATGCCAGAACTGGCAGGGACTTTGCATCTGATTCCTCCACACATACACAGAACACAAACCCATGCAGGTGAAGGAGAAATGCCACCCTCTACATCCATTGCTGTTTTGCTGCCCAGAAAGGAAGGATTCCGTAATACAGTCGCTGTCTGGAGAGCCAGGATTCAGACGGAAAAGTCAAAGTCATTTAACGCAATCTGACCACGAGAGCAGGGGCTGGAGCACTGCACAGCACTCCTGACACCAGGAGCTGCTTGTGTTTGCTACAAACACCCTGCCAGCCCCGGAGGGCAGCCTCAGGCTCCAGCACACTGCAGCGCCAGCACACACCGGCCTCTCCCTTCTCCCACGGAACAATCCACACTGGGAACCCCACCCAGAGCACACCCGAGCGTGGCTGCCTCGTCCTGGCATCCCTGAGTGCCAAGGGACTGGGCACAGGCACCGCTTCAGTCGTCTCCAAGCCCCACGCGAGTTTGCGGTGACTTTGCCAAGTCACCCGCGGGCGCATCCCGCAGCCCGTTCTTAGGGCTGGCATCGTGGCAGTGGGAGAGGGAGCGGGTCTGCGTGGGGACGGGGGACACGTGGAACGACCAGACAGCCCCTGGGTAAACCCTCACCCCCCCACGGACACCCCCTGACCGAGACGGTGGGGCTGGAACACCAGTGGGGACACGGAAGTGGGGGCTGGAGGGACACCGGGGGCTGGGGACACACGGAGGGCTGGGGACACACGGGGCTGCTCTCCCTGCGGGAAGGAGGCGAAGGGTCCGGCACGGTTCCCGGGAGGCCGCGGCCCCGCTGGCGCTCGGTTCCCGGTGAGGACGCGGCTCCCGGAGCGCTCCCGGGCGGCGGGAGCTGTCCGCCCCGCGGTGCTGAGCTCCGCGTTCCGCCGGGCCCCGCTCCCGCCGCCGCTCCCGGAGCCGCTGCGCTTCCCCGCAATGCCAGAAGTTTCATCCCGGCCCGGGGAGAGGCAGAAGCGGGGGGTCCCCTATCGGGAATGGCACGGCCGGTTCCAGCAGCCCTTCCCGCTCCCACCGCCCCCTCCCCGGTCCCGGCTGCATCCCCCCGCGCCGGGCGGTGCCCCCTCCCCGCAGCCGGAGCGGCGGGGGAGGGCGCCGGCGGCCGCTCCGGCCCCCGCGCAGCGCCGAGAGCTCCGGCCCCGCCCGCAGCTCCCCCCCGCTCGCCCCGGCCCCACCGAGCAGCCCCGGTACGGCTCCCGCAGCAGCTCCGGGCACACGGTTGCCCGTGGCTTCCTCCGTCCTTCTCGGCTTCTTCCCGCTCCGGGTGCCCCCCCAGCCTGGGCAGCGCTGCCACTGCGGGCCCCCCGTCAGCCTGCCTCTTGTCCCGTCTCACTGCCCCTTGTCCCCAAGCCGCCTATAGCATCCAAGGCCACCCTCAGCATTCCAAGCCCTTCTCACTCCCTCCTCAAGGCCAGATGTACCCTCCTTCCCGGCTCCCCCAAAGCAGGCTGTGAATAGGGCAGAGGTGCTGTGGGGAGGCTCCCATGGCTCCCTTGGGATCAGGGATGCTCCAGGGCTTCTGGCCCTGCTGCTGGAGGGAGCTGCAGCTGTGACCTTCCTGACCTCAGTGGGGTGGGGGCACTGAGCATACAGAAGCCCACATTTTGTGGGTGCTGCTTAGGGCCACCCATAATGTTGGGCTGGCCGTGGGTGAGCACTGGGGTACCCTCAGTCCTGTGGCAAAAGAAGCAGCACACAGGGGTCCCTGCTCAGGACCTGGCCCCAGAGCTCCTCAGCTTCCTTGCCTGCTGGGGAACCGTGGCCTGGATGGCTCCCAGGAACCCCCTGCCCATCCCACCAGCAGGAGCTGCGAGCCCAGGGCTCCCAGCAGGCCCCTCTGAGCCCGCAGAGCACGCGGTGTAATTACACTGACTTTGAGAAGAACAGAAACAGAGGCTTGGTTCTCCTGAAATCCCAGATCCTGCCCTGAAATGTTTACTGTGAATCACCTCCCTGTGAGAGCGCCCGGTCCTCTGCCTGTCAGCTCAAATAGCCAGAGCGATGTCACGAGTGCACAAAAGCAGTGTCAAACAGCCACGAGACATAGCCCAGCCTCTTCCCTAAAGAGCCAGTTTGTTTGCTGCCATGTGAGAAGTCCCCGCTACCTTTGCGGGAGCAATTACACCGATCCCGTTACCTCAGCAACAACCATCGCACTCTGGTGTCACCACCAGTGCCACCACGCAGAACGCACCGAGGCAAGGAGCTGTCCAAACACGGGCACTGATCCTGCTGTGTTTTCCCCTCCGGGCTGTGCTGAGCTCCCTCCTGCCCCGGCGCCGCTGGAATCGGAGGCAGCAGCCCGGGGATGCTGGGGAGCGGCCGGCAGGTCATTTGCATTCCCGGTGTCACTCCCAGCCGCTGCCAGCTGGGAGCAGTTGGGCAGCAGGCTCGAGAAGAACAAAATAAGAAAGGGAGAGAAAGCAGCGAGAGGTGCAGCGTGTTATTTAACGCTGTTACTCTCATACCCAACTGGGACTCGCCTGCTCAGAGGTTTAATTTGGTCGAACAAAGCTTGTGGCACAGCGAGCCCAGCCTGCACTGCTCCCCCTCTGCTCCAGCCTCGCTTCCCTCCCGACCTGCCGGCGCTAAAGATAAGAGTTGTCTCTCATTTAGCGGTTCTCCTTGAGTGATTTTTATTGTGCTCATCTGCATTGTAGTAAACTCCTAAGATAGCCAGATAATAACAGCAGTGCCATGGAAACAGGCAGGAAAAGAGACCAGACACTGTATTTGTGATGCAGAAATGCCCACGAAGTGGCAAAAGTTGTTAGTGATGGAGAGGGAATGGTGAAACCCAAGCTTCAGCTGCCCAGCAGGCTTAGGGGGTGCAGGTGAGCCCAGGCCCCACGGGCATCACATCACAGACTCCAGGGCATCACACCTGGAGCAGGGACCTGGGAACTGTGCTGCCTGGGCTCCTCCTGTCCCTCCAACAGCTTTGCTGGGGGCTCAGGTGAGCTGGGAGACAGGAGTGTGTGTAGGGAGACGGGCTGGGATGAACCACAGGATGCACCGTGGGATGCACTCCCCAGAGCCGCTGTGGTTTGAATCATTTCCCTCCCGCAGCCGGCGCCTAATGGGCTGTGAAATCTCACCCGGAGAAACAGCGGGGTGGGTGTGGAGCCTCGGTGCTCCCGGGATCTCCGTGCTCCTGCTGCTTCCCGAAAAACCAGGGCCCTTCTGCCTGCAGCTGGGACCTGCCACCCTGAAACCCCTGCAGCTGGAGCAGCTCCTGCAGCCCTGGCATGGCTGGGCATGGCTGGGCACGGCTGCATGCACAGCCCAGCTCCACAGCGGCAACAGCAACAGGAGCGGGCAAAAAGTGGCCTCTTGAGTTCCTTCAGCAGCTCTCAGGGCCATGACTGTGTGGTCAGAAGCCTGAGGTATTCCAAGAAATAAGACAAACATCTCCCGAGGCCACTTTATGGGCATTGCTCTAATTAGCACCGTGTTCATCGGCCATTACCTCAGACCTTTGATTAACAGTGGAGAAAATCAATAACTGCTCTAAAAACTCAGATAAGTTTCACAGCTAATTTTAATTTCACATTTTAATCTTGTATTAATGTCAATCTTAATTACCATAATTAAGTCAGATGTGACTTAGCAAGAGCAGCTTGGAGATAAGATGTTAAAGGCAGACGGTGCCTTTCTGGTGCTGCTCACTGGGGTTTGGGAAGGGGCTGATGACAGGGAGCAGGGGGTCCCACAGGAGGACACTCACTTTCCTGTCCTTCCCAATGTCCCCAGCCTTACCAGCTCCCTGCCTGGGATCTGTCCCCTGGACCCTCTCAGAGTTGCTTTGCCTTTTGGCAAAGAGTTCCCTTCATTTTGGGTGCCCCCCAGCCCCTCAGACGGCTGCTCCTCAGCACCGGGGAGCACAGCGAGGTGCCAGCCCCACGGTGCCAGCCGTGTCTGCACTCTCTTTGTCACGGCAGCTGAGATCCACGAGATCCGAGCTGCCCAGAAAATCAATCTCTCCTTTATTTTGGCGCCGGTCGGTGCCGCAGCCGCCGCTGCTGCCGCGTTCGCTCTGCAGTCGTGCCCATCGATCCATCGATCGCCGCCCCCTCGCAGCTCCCCGTGCCCGCCGGGCAGGGGCAGGGCTGCCAGGGGCTCCAACCAGCCCGTGGAACCCTGGACACATCCAGCTTGTGGGATCCTGCAGCCTCTGCCCTGCAGCGGGGTGGGACAGACCCCACAGGCAGCTCCTGTCCCCCCGCGCTGCCGCAGCCCCAGGTGGGAGATGGGGACAGAGGTGCTTTGGGGACAGACCCCACCAGGACAGACCCCACTCCCCTGACTCTGTGTGAGCCATCCCAAACACGCTGGGGGTTATTCTGAGGATGCAGCTGCTCCTGGGGCTCCCGTGAGGGCACAGAGGGCCCCTCCTGCCCTCTGCTCACACAGGGGAGCAGCCTCCTCCCTGCAGCTCCCTTGGGAAGCTTTCACCCCTCCTCCACAGCGCCCGGGGGGGGGCTTCAATGGCACAAGGAAGCGGAAAAATAACCTCAGCTTTAGATTTGGAAGCAGAGGTGCCCCGTAGTGCAGCTGAAAGGCGGCTCTGAGGAGCCGTGCCCAGGCTGGGGGCACTGCTGCTGAGTGGCAATATTGTCCCAGGGCAGAAAAGGCCTTTGTCCCTCCGAGATGGCAGAACCACTCCAGCCTTTGGCTTTGGGAACGGGGCTGATTCCCTGCTTTGCCTTCCAAACACGGTGCTGAATGGGGGGTTTGAGCTGGAGGCCAGGCTGGCATCCAGCCCCTTTGAGCCGGTGCCAGCGGGCACAGCTGGGGGCCCGCTCAGGAGGGAAGTCCTTGTTCCTTGTCAACAGAAGAAGACTTTGCACAGCTTGAAAATAGGCTCCCTGTTGCCCACGGGGGTTTGGAGGGGGCTGAGGGGAAGGCAGGCAGCAGAGCAGCATCCCGGTGGAACTGGAGGGAAGGGACAGCCTGCCCAGGGTGCTGTGTCCCCAGGGTCACCTCTGCACCCCTCAGTGTCCCTGTGTGGGCCACCCCAGCATGGCTCCACAGTCCCTTTTCCCCCCATGGAGCAAAAGCTCTCCTTGTGCACCAGGGCTGAAGTCTGGGAGCACCTACCTGAGCCCATGGCTCCTCAATTCCCCAGCCAGAAATCAGGACATTGTTTCATGCTCTATGCATAATTCATCATTCAGAGCTTAATTAACTAAAGCTCCTCATGGCAATGCCTGGAGAGGCTCCCACCAGCTCCAGGCACTTCCAGCCACTCCAGTCCATGGCTGCCAGGCTCCTTCCCAAGGCAATGGTGCTGCTCTGATTGCTGTATCCATATTTCACTGCTGTGCTGTGATGTCCCAAAAGTTTTCAAGACTTCTCTGCTGTGATTTTCAGTTCTTTGCTCCAGCAGGGTTTGCATCAGTCACAGAGCAGCCAGTGGCTCCATGGTTCCCCCATCCTGACCATCCCCACAAATCCTGGAGAAATCTGCCTTCTACAAATCTGCCTTTCAGCTGGAAAATACCTGCTCTGGGGAGGCTTTCCTACCTTGTCCTCCATTCTCTGCATCCATTCCCCAGTCAGTATTCCTGCCAGGACTGCTGGTGTTTACTCATTGCATCCCGTATAAATTGCAAGAGAGATTACACTGATACATAAAACAGCATTTGTAAATCCAGGAGTGCACAAAACTGTTGTCCTCTCTTGCAATTCCTCCTTGAGGAATAACAAGAAGTTTTTATGAAGTGAGGCAGAGTGCAGCATGATTTTACTGCTATCCCACTGCCTCTGGAGAGAGGGATTTCTTTGCCTCTGCATTACTCCACACTCGCCGTAATCCATTAATTGCCTTCAGGAAAATGCTCTGGCTTTCTCCCTCACACCAGTTCCTCCCTGTGCATTTCAGAGTCCCCTGATCCAGGCAGGAGGGCTCAGCACCAGTTCTCAGCACCCTGAGCCAGGCAGGAATGCCCAGGAAGGCTGGAGGTGTCTGCAGGACAGGATGAGCTGGATGCAGACCTTGGCCCTCAGCACCAACCACAGGTAAATATTTTTCATTTGTCTGGCTCAAATAATTTCCCCATGGGAACCATAAAAGCATTCTGTGAGGAACTGATGCAATCAGCATTCCTCAGTGATGCTGATTGGGAATAATCCCTGAGTTGTTGGAGCCACTGGAGAGAGGGGGTGAGCACCAATGGGTGGGAGGGAAAGGAACAGGAAATAAGGGAAAAGAGGGAAATCACAGATTCCAGTCGGCACCAGTAACCATGGCACTGTGAAAGGCAGGCTTTGTCCAACAGTTGATTGTGATCTTTGAGGGGATGATGCATTGGAGGGAGGGAGGGATCCGATGGCTGCCGTGGGCTGCTGTGATGGATTGGATGTGGCAGCAGGCACATTCTCCTGGAATCAGTGTGATGCAGTATCAGCACAGCGCTGCCTAAGTGGGAATGAACTGGCTCATTGACAGATCCGGGGAGCAGACAGACGAGGAGAATCATCCTCACAAGGAGGAATTAGTAACGAGCCTGCTCAGACCTGGTTTGCTCTGTCACTGCTCCCAGGGCCTGCAGGCCAACACCAAATCCCTGGAGGGGCTGAACAAGCTGGGATCAGTGGTTACCTGAGTGAGGACCTGCAGCCACACAGCACAGCCCTGAGCACAGCACAGAGTCAATTATTCTGCCAAAGCAGTCCAGCCACCCACTTCAAATCATTTCTGTGCCATGAAATGGGGGTTAGAGGGTCCCAGGGACTGGAGGGTCCCTCTGCAGTGGCTAAAGCAGATGGCATCACTCAGGTCGCAGAAAGCCCCTGCAGCTGGAGCAGGGAGTGGTGCTGTGCTCCCCCACAGCCCTGCAGAGGCAGTGGCAGCCCCACAGAGCCCCTCCTGATGGTGTCTGTGGCAGGGCCACACTGCACCTCCCCTGCTTTGGGCACCACCCAGGGACCAGAATCATCAACTGGGTGGCACAAGGAACAGGACAGTGGCACTAACTGTGGCTGTGCCTCACAGGGGAGGTGACAGCCCCCTCCCAGCCCACCCCTGTGTCCTCCCTGGTGCCCCAAGCTTGGCTTTCTCTGCAGAGGCTGCTTGCACTCTTTGTAGAGGGGGGTTTGGGGGGGGGGGGGGGGGGGGGGGGGGGGGGAAGGGATTTGTACTAAAGCTCT